TCTATGCCTTCAAGAGATCAGAGGTGAAATGTCAGAGTGTACCTGCAAACTGAGAACGCACAGCTGGAGCCTCTTGGACTTGGACTCAGTTTAGACTGCACATCCAGAGAGGACACCTGAGGTTGCTGACACAGGTCAGCTGATTGAGAAAAAGGTTAAAACAGCTTTCAGGTAACAGCAGAAGGCTTCAGTGATTATTAAAATATATAAACATATAAATTCTATGTATTGGTGATATTTCTGTGTGTGTCATTTGCCTGAACAATTAGAGTTGCAGAGATTTAGCAGATACCTTTCTGCTGTCTGGCTGCCTTGGCAACATGTTTCATCACCACACCCTTTATGCCCTTCTTGATCAGAGTGGGGGAAGCAGAGACCAAACTCAACTCCTCCCAGCTCTCAGCCATCTTCTGCTCCACCTTTTCATCGTCGGCTGCACGGCCTGCGCGCTCTATCAGCTGAACAGAACACAACTCATCGTCATAGATTCAAGCATTCATGCATGCACTGCATGACACCGTCCAAATACAAAAGCACACTGCACTACATTTAAGCGCCACTAAGATAACCTCAGCCTCAAGGGACTTTGAAGAGGACGATCCTGAGGAGTTTTGGCTTTAGTCCATTAACTACAAATTACATATTTAACATTACTGCTGACTGTCTTCTAAAGCATATTTTTACTAATGGTATAACTTAAAATATATAAACATTAACATGTTGGAGACACCCTAGGTGCTTTATTACTGCAAGCATTTTGACGCTTTCATTTTCCTTATCCACTTTAGTAGATGTTAAATCGATTTCAGAGTAAACAGCAATCACTTTAACACACCCTGGCCATGCTCCTGGATTTGACTACTCTGACCACATAGCTTGGGAATGCAATTGACCTACTTGTCTTCTCAAAAGAGAATTGTTTTTGTATGATATTCAGCAACTTTGGGCAGCAAAACATGCTACATGTGATGAAACAGCTGAAGGATGAACTGCCAATCTATAAGTGGACAAATTAACATATAACTCAAAAGATATACTTGATTTAGCAAGTTAACATATCTGTGCTTATCAGATTCCTGGAGAATCCATGACTTTATAGCTCTTTTTGCCCCAGGTCAGAATTTTTGCAGCAATTCATGTCTCCATTCATAAAAAGAGTGCCTATGAACGAAGCACTGATGTGGTGCTAACAACCTCAAAAACACTCACCCGTTTCACTGCCAATGTAGCAATTCCTAGCATGGCAGCCCCACCAACTCCCAAAACCAGCCGGGCATTAGACAGCAGGAAGTCAATCACAATGCTGATGCCATCCTCTCCTCGCTTCCGACTGCCCTGGAAGTTCATTGCTTCCCTTTTTGTGGTTAGCCTTGGGAAGGAAGAATGCATAAATTCAAGTGGGCAGAAAGTAACACAACCACATGACTGTCAGGTAGAGCGGATATTAACTCTACCTGCAGCATTTTTTTTATCTCAAGAAATCATGAAACGCAGCTGCACTTCTATATGAATGTCATGAAGTCAGAATACCCATGAGATGAACTGACATGATATGAAAAGCTGCATCTTTGTTCCAGCTAAAAACAGCCTATCTATTCAGCAGACTAATATTCAAATTGGTCTGTATGTGTGCAGTTTTTATTAGCACCATTGGGGAGCCACTGGGCATCAGTCATGATCAATAAACAAGTTTTAATCTTCCTTAAAACAACATCCTCATCAATTATTGATTGTAAGTAAGTAGGCTTGTAGTTTCAAAATGCTCACTGATGTATTAAATTATGCAGAGTTGACATGAGGAACATTTTTCTTTTATGGCTTAAAAAAAATGTTATTTTATGCTATGCGGATTGTAAATCCTCTTGAGGAAAATGTGTGATTTGTGATACTGGCTACAGAAATAAAAGTGTCTCAACTCATTTATTAATTCATGACTTTGTTGACAACTTTAGTCTTGGGAAACTAACCACTCTGCTGCAGTTATTCACTGGCCTTAACCACAGAGCATTTGGGGTCATATTCTAGGCCTTAACAACCAAGATGAATTTGGTTTTAAAACAGGAAGTTCACAGAACAATCAGAAATGCATTCTAATAAAAGAAACTTAGGAACCAGGCTGTGGGTTTGTTTCTCTTGGCTTTTTTTTGTCAAAAAGAAAGTGAGCTAAATGAAGGTTTGTTGGGTTTTATTCAGAGAACATTTGACTGATTCATAACATTAATTGTGGTTTTGTTGCATTGTAGTGTCTCCAGTTTCCAGTGAGACAGATGTAATGCAGCCACCATTATTGTTAGTAATTACACCTGTGATTTTCCTTCTGTGACATGTCAAAATGTCCTCTGTAAGAAGGGTATACTGGAACAGGCCTGTTGCAGTAGGACGCCACAGGTATTGGTAAGGTTGTTATTGATGGGAAATAAAAAATGAATTTTATCCGTTCTGAAAAGCTTTGAACTGATCCTTTACACTTGCTTATTTCTGGAGCACACACGTGACGTGACCATTATATAAATACACTTTGAGTGCACTGCACTTGCTCATATTTAGCTCCAGGCACCTGAGATCCAGAAATAGCCGCAGGACATCACTCTAAACCATTTCAAACAAGTGTGTGTCCTCTCTCCTTGCAAGAGGTACAGGATCCCAAGAATGGAGACATGCACTATTTATAGCGTTAGGGCCCAAAGCGTGTTTGAGTCACACCAGCCAGGTCAACTATGCAAAAAACTTCCTAGTCAAGTTACAAGCACAACAGGTGGCACATTCAACAACAGAGTAGAGTTCAGTCTCTGTTTAATGTTAGTTAATGTACCATCAGGCCAAGCAAAGGACTCCTGATGTTGACAAATGTTACCCAACACTGTTTCAGCTGATTATAGCTGAAAACACATAGAGCAACTGACAAAAATACAGATCAGTCAGTGAATAATGCTATTACCCAATGTGGTGTTTTTGTTCCCAGCCAGCACAATGGAGCTTTACCATACCACTCCTTCCAAAACACATTTTATTGAGCAATTTTAGCTTAAAATATGCCAAATATTGTGTGCCAAATTTGTAGCATACGCAACATCATGCTGTAAGTGAAGGGTCATGCATCATATATTCTTTAGTAACAAGGTAATATAATTGAAAAAATATATATTTTGTTATATTGTTTGTCCGGTTTCTTTTGTTGTTGTGGGATAAGTTACTGTTCTGACCAAAGGTGGCAGCACTGCGGTGGAACAACAGGGAATTGTTACATATAGACACCACAGAAAAGAGCACTGACTTTTACAAGAATCTTAGAACAAAGGATTTTTAAATTTACCTTGCAATATAAATTACATGTTATCCTTCTGGTTGGACAGCTGACATGTTGAGCTTAACACATAAACCTTATAAATCACCTGCTGATTATTAAGTTACCCCTTGTAGTTGACACAACCTCTCCAGTGTTGGATACAGCCTACGGTCAGTCACTGCGACATGATAATTAGTAACTATTAATGTAACACGACAAATGTCCATCTAACTAACGTACAGATCCAATCTGCCAACAAATGTTAGCTATTTTAATGTCGTCAGCATGAAGGGCAGCGGCAAACGGATGAGCGGCTTCCAACTCCAGCTAGCAGCTAACGCCAGTTAGACAAGCTAGCCTGCTAGTTAGTTAGCAGTCAGTGAGAGCTCTCCCTCTACTGTTAAAAATACTTACCACTCAGTGCGGACAGAAATATAACGACCAGACTTCCCATTAGCGTTTTGTAAAATATGTATTTCGATCCTCTTCAACAACAAAGCGCAAACATTACGGACGTATCACTGACGGACATCGCGTAAATAGAAATACTAGCTAACAGCTGCTGGCTTCTTCTCTTCTTCTTTAATTGCGGATTGCATTCAACGTCAGGGTGCAGTAGCGCCCCCAGGAGAGGCTCCGGAACACCGACTAACTACATCAAGACCTACAACAAGATGGTTTATTTAGCAACTGTGGTAGAAGTATTCAAATAATTTCCTTAGTAAAATCAGCGATACCACACAATAGAAATACATTATATAGAATTACAAGTACTGGTCCTGCATACAATTTCACTTGGGCTAAGTAAAAGTACAAAAGTGTTATCAACTAAATGTACTCAAAGTATCTAAATTATTATTACAAGTATGTATCAGAATTGGCCCTGTGTTATATCATTATATTACTGGGCAGTAAGCATGTAAACAGTAGACCTGTTACCTGTTACAGCTGGTTGAGGTGAAGCTAATTTCAAACAACTTATAAACTTCTGGGGTAGTTTCCCCTTTCCCTAGCTATATACAATGTTGATGCCCTATGCACTATTAGCTCTAACTAGTATTTTTTGTTGCTAGTATCTACAGTATTGTCACTTGTAAATCTCTTACTGTATTGATGCTTTGTTGATGCTTGTATGTTGTTCCTCAAATGTAAATGGCATTGGATAAAAGCATCTGTCAAATGAGTAAATGTAAATGTAGTTAAATCTGTAACGTAGCATCATATTTTAAATACTGATTATGTTTTGTTTGTAACATCTTGATCTAAGAAGGAGTTATTAAAGCTGTCTAGTAAATATACAATAGTACAGTACAATACTGTAGTAGTGGAGTAGAGGTATAAAGTAGCATAAAATGAAAATACAAGTACCTTAAAATTGTACTTGAAAAAGTACAATTTTAGTAAAGTACTGTAGTTTGCCCCAGCTCCATCTGCTGATTGAGTTGAGTTGACTTGTCAATTCTAGTCTTTTGTCCTATGTAGTCATGACCCAAATTATTATGATCACCCCATGGACAAGCCAAATCTATTTATATATTTGCTATTTCGATCAAATTCAATTTGATAAAGGAGAAGTAAATGAACATGAGGCTCTCCACTTTTTCCCCTGCATTTATTTCCATTTTTATCAGTTTGTGACAATTGTTTTGATTTTGTTCATTGTGTTCATATTACCTTTGATTGTACAATTGAAAATATTTAAAAGCAAAGCAGATACAATTGGTGTTTTCTCTTTATTGAATTATAAATATCTCTCTGGAAATATACGTAATATACAAATTAAAATACAAATTAAGGAAATGACATTTATTCATTTAGCTGACGCTTTTATCCAAAGCGACTTACAATTGCACACATGGGTCACAGTGGGGGATTTAACCCAGGTCTCTCACACCAAAGGCTTGTGTCTTATCCATTGCGCCATCACCACTCGAGTTGTTAGGGGAATACAGATATTTAATTGAAGGAGATGATAAATAGCATATTGCTTTCACATGTGTTGTTGTCAGCTCAACAGACTTTCTGGTCATGGAAGTTGTTCTTAAATTCCAAACTTCAGTAATTTGTTTACGGGACAATCGATTTGAGAAGAGGAACACATCTAATGTAGGCAGTTAATTTACTTGATCATTTATAATGAGTCAACTTAAATACGAATCGGGTTCCCTAATAACGACAGATTAACTACTCTTCCTGCCAGTATAAGACAAACTCCAGTTTTTTCTTCCCTGACCTGGAGCTTGTACTGGGTTGAGGGACAACCCTGCTTTGATGAATGGCAGACCAACTCTGTGGAAACAATTTCAGCTTTATTTCATTCAGCCAGCACCTCTGTAGCCAAAAAAACATTACCACCAAAATCAGGAAACCCCCTTATGTGCCACCACTGCGTCCACAAAGTCAGCATCCCATCTTTTGTTTTCAGTCAGTTAATAAGTACCTCTGACTGGGAGCAAGAAACAAATTTATCGGTCTACATGGCAAACCGCAAGAACAAATACATCTTCAAATTGATTTTCTTCATGTCTGTGCGTTCAGACACAAGCTAAACAAGACAAATATCATTAAAGACAAGGGCTGTTTTTTCAAATTAAGTTGTGACTAACCCAAATATCACCCAATTTGATTTAATGCAGAACAGCAATAACATAGCCTCTGTCATTGTATAAGGAGTGTAAAACAAGACTCAAGTTTTATTATCACTCCATAAAACATTAGTTCAGCTGATCCACCATATTGTGACCTCCACCCAAGATGAGTCATACAGCTGAATCAAATCAAACACAGACCGCATGGCTGCACATTTGCCAGTTGTTTCAACCTAAACTGTGACAGGGAGGCTGAACAAATAGCAAAGCTCTGGGATTGCACAATAAAGGTGTGGATCAGAAATGTAGGCGCAAAAAAAATAATAAGAAAAATCAACAAAGATTTCTTTCTGCATAGAAGTTCCCCCAATCAAAGACTATACAAACATATTGTACATTATAACAAGGTAGATTACAGCTCAGGTTTTCTTTTGTACAAGTCCATACATACATCTTTCTTTCAGCTCTTGCAGTCTGTACATCTTGGTTACAAAAAATACATGCCGTTTTGAAGTATCTATGGACATAGAAACAAGAAATGTTTAATTTAAGGTAATTGAACAGTTTGAACAGAGCCTTACTGTAGTGACTAACTTGAGGTTCTGAACTGTCCGCACAGACGTCAACTTTGTCTGCCAGAAACAAATAATGCATTCAAACTTATGCAGACTCAAATCAAAATGCAGACAACATGATGACTGTGCTCCTTGTGCCTGACTAAAACTCAAGTGGGAAAATGATGACTGATCAAATCAGGTTACAATATTGAAATACATAAAAGAGCGGGTATATTTATATGTGTACATGTGTAATGGAGAAGTGCTCAATGGCGTCTCATTTTGACTTTGCGTCCTGAACTCTCCCGGTGTTTCTCAGAGTCTTGACCACGCTTCCAGTAGTTCTCTGAGCTGATAGTGTGACGCCGGTGACGGGAGAATGACGGATGTCTGTTCTCCTCTTTGTCCATCTCAAGAACTCTTGGCCTGGTGGAGGAAAAAGTTTGAGATGCCAAGTCAGACTTTGATCATCATTTACTGCACACTGCTTCATAATTGCAATTTACATGGCACATGCTCAGAAGGAGAATTGTTACAGCCTCCTCTATCTCCTTTGCACCAGTGTTTCTTAAGCCCCTTCCAGACAAGCAATACCTAACACGAGAGACACAGAGACAGACAGAGAGAGAGACAGAGAGAGAGACAGAGAGAGAGACAGAGAGAGAGACAGAGAGAGAGACAGAGAGAGACAGAGAGAAAGAGAGATTTGTTAAAAAAAAAGGAATATCAAGAAAGAAGAGAGCTGACTGTTCTTTTACAGGCTGTATCACTGATGGATTTGAAATTATTTTGCCTTTGAAGTCTTAATTAATGAGCGCAAGAGACACTCACTCCCGCTTCTCACAGTGAAAGCACTAATACATATTCACATCAATTTAATCATTTAACATTATTATTGAGCAGATTCTGTTGCCTGTTTAATAAATCTGACAGTGCTTTAAGACTTTTTATAGACTGATCTGAGAAAATTAACTTTCTCAGTTTGTTAAACAGATGTGTTTAAGAGAATGATTGAGATACATATATCCTGCCTTCTAAGATCACTGATTACAGTGATCTTAGAAGGCAGGACAAGACGCACATTTCTCTGTTTTACACTGTACTACAATCTTCACGTTAATATGACTGCATTCAATTCAGACTTGTGCTGTGTAGATACGGAAATGTTACAAGGTAAAAGCTAGTAAGACTGTCAGAATTCCTTTTAATGACCGTAACATAGTAAAACACAGTATATCATTAAACTCAGTAAAAAAAAAAAATTTCCATCACAACTTCTACATAATAGTGACCAGGGTGGTTATTCAGTTATGATGTAGAGTAGATGTGTTAAATTGGCATCAGATGAACTTAAAGAGGAGCAAGTCTGAAAGGGGCTTTAAAAATGTCTGTTTATAATAACCACAAACTGACTCAAGTTGGGCAATGTCCAGGCAGAGTTGGGGGCATTTTGCTTCCGGTACAGATGAGAGGATGAAATAAGATCCAAGCAGTACAACTAAAGTAACACTGCAGTGATTAAAATGTGATGAAGATGGATTTTACTGTTTTGGAAGTTCTCATGGCAGCAATCATGTTATATTTTGTCACACTGTTTGCGAGGAAAACAGTAGAAATATGGCGCTCGCATCGCCAAGTAATCTACCAGGAATGTGCGCTTGAACACGTTTAATTCATTTGATTGAACAACAGCAGGGATTTCTTTTGCCAGAGCTCTCGAAGTTGGCATTTCCACAATGTCAAAAATCACCTTAAGCAAATGAATGACAGGGCTGCATTTTTTTAACACTGGGGGTAAAATACCCAAGTGGGTGCCGACTGAACTCTAAATCATGTAGGTTGATGCTGAGAGTGTTATGGTTTCCCTAAATCTTAATAAGGCTAATATGATATTAGGCTTCATATTGAATTATCAATATATATTTGATGTTAGGGTGGTGGCTCTTCCACAAGTCTGTTTCAATTGGACCCATTAAAACCTCTAGTGTGTCAGTATTTGTGGGCGTATACCTGTGAGCAGCATCGGGGTCTGCTCTGCGGTGAGAGCGTTTGGCTTTAAGAGGAGCAGGTCTCTCTGCAGGAGAAGACCTTAAAGGACTGTCAGAGTCCACTCGAGGTGCATCAGGTCTGGTCCTGGCAATCAGAGGAGGGAGCACAAGCAGATATGCATGGATCAAAGCAAGACTTCATACAAGATATTACTTTTCAAAACCATGGTATGATGACTTACTTTCTGAGGATGATAACTGCGCGCCGCTGCTTGATGTCTTGGGGCCGGATGCAATGGGTGATGTCATCGGCTGCATAGCCACTGAGAAAGAAGGATGCTTTAAGTGACAACGACTTCAGCCCTTCGCAACCTCACAAAACAGTAATACAAAAAATACATGATAGCAAACACAGCCATAGTCACCTGAGTACTGTGACACTCCCTCTGTTCACCGGTAGAACAAACACTGGCTCTGACACGCGGATTGGTTTGAACTGGAAGCGACAGCCGAAGCACAGCGCGCTGTCACTGAAGAAGGACACTGAGACGATGGGCCGTGCAAAGATGTGCTGAGGATCCACATGTGACACAATGCAGCCCCTGGTTGATAATCATTGATGACTGCACTGTTGACAAAGCCTTCTGGGATCACTCCACTAGACACCAGAGGCTTGATCACCAGCTCATGTACCCAGCTCGGGATCTCATCCACTTCTCCTTTGCGGTACAGCCTCTCCTGACCCGGTCCACGCTTCTCTAGCTGGGATCCATATGTGTAGCCCTCCCCGAAGAAGTACTTGTTGCGGAGGGGTGCCCTATCCACTGTATGCTCACGGTAAAGTCCAGCCTCTCCTTGTGCAACCACCTCATCGATCTTCTCTTCAATGTGCGCACACTCCTCCGGTGTGAAGATGCTCTTCTGCAAGATGCTGCTCTTCACCCGGTGCGCCACCTGCTCCCTGAGCTCCACGCTGTCATCGCTGTGCTCATATTCGTCGTCGGAATCTCGAACCTTGCGCTTTCGACCTTTTCCGCTTCCGTTACTCGTCCCGTCCACGTATTTATTTTTTTCCTCGTCTCTGTGTGGAGTCATGGATTTGAGCTTCTCCCTCAGGTCAGAGTATCCGCTGGCTGCCATGTCAGCCTAAACAATATGCCCGGTGTTAGTGCGACGTGAGCTCTTAGCTAACAGATAGCATGCATCAGCGCTGCATTTTAGCAGTGTTTTAACCGAGGCTGATAATATGAACGGACAAGATGTCAAAAAGGAGTATTGAACGGTGGATATCACTAGTTTAAGAGACCACTCACTTTCACTCACAGCTGTGTCCAGCGCATAAAGTAGCTAACGTTAACGTTAGCGAAGTTGCTCCGCCGCCCTGTCTATGCACAGAAACAGCAGTCTGGGGTGGCAATCTGTAGATTAAATTATCCGACGCCTAACTTACAAACAAGCAGAGCTGCGACAAACGCTGAGTCAACACTGCAACTAGGTTCTGCCAGCGGAGAGGCTAATGATAGCTAACCTTAGCCGTGCTGCTTGGCTACCAGCTAGCTAAACTAACCTGGCTTGGTCTGTCCGTTACCGCCTGGAAATATCGACAAACCACGCAGCAACATGTCACAGCTAAAGTCGGTACTCCGGAGACGTCTGAACTCAGGTTTTAACTCCAAGAGTCCAGGAAAAAACAGTGTTATTCCGCACAAGGCTTAATCACGATCAGCTTCTACTATGAAAACGTCTTCAAGAGAAAGGCTGAAAATACACTCGTGTAACCTTCCACAGATCTGCGCATGCTCAGTTATGAGGGAGGGAGGGGCTATCACGTGTACTGAGAAGAAGACACAAATCCATTTTGGGAGCCTTGAGGGGACACTTTAGACTACTGCTAATTTTGTCCCTTCTTATTTACTTTCTACAGTTCACACTGTCCATTTAAGTGGTTATGGTAGTCTTTAGTTAGTGTAATTAATGGTATTGATTTGAAGCTTTATTTATTTAAAATCTTAAATGTTTGCACTATTTTCTTTCCACCACCCATCCAGTATTGTATCTAACTCTTGTACTAAGAAACATGACGTGATAGCATTTTTAAGTAAATTATCAGAACTTCTATGTTTTATATCTTTGTAAATTGAATAGGTTTCAGACTGTTGGTCAAACAAATATGTGGTTTTGAGATGTTACCTTGTGCTCTAGGGACATTTGATGGCCATGTTTTAGGCCTTTTTATTATTTTCTGAGATTTAACAGTTTATTGAGAAAATCTATAGATTCAATAATAAAAAGTGCCCACTTTACACATCAAAACACAAACTGACATATTGAAAGTGCTTGTCCAATTAACAGTCCAAACCCCAAATATTCAGTTAAATATCATAATCAATTCAGGAAAAATGCAAATTAATTTTTTTGGACCAACTAATCAATTATTTGTCTCTTAAACTCCTAAAACCATTTTTCACTATTTTCTGGGATTGTTCAGATTAAACTTAGTTGTTAAGATTAGTAGTTACATGCAAAACAATTAATAAAGAACTTGCAGCCCTGCCTGAGAAATTGTTCATTAAAATTGATTGATTTATTGATATCCATGAAAACATTTAGTTATGCCATTTTATACTGATATCTCCTCATACCAAACACTTTTTAAAATTATCATTGTTTGATCCTTTTAATCACTCAGTGCAGTTGTGCTCATATCTCTTTAAAGTAGTAGTTTATTTTATTTTGATAAAATACTCTTTACAAAACAAGAAAGTTAATGCATTAATATTGGTTGAATACAACAATTGTTTACACTAGCATCAAGTCTTACAGTAATAGTATCAATAAAAATATAAAAAAATGTTACATATCCGTTATAAAACTTTGTAATGACACACAGGCCTATGACGCTTTCTCAGTGTTCATTAACAGCTTATACAGATAAACATCTTTAGTGTTTAATCAATTAAAACTACAATTATAAAGGTGTCAACCTGAAAGAAAAATTAACTTATATTGACTCACAATATCTCACTGTCTTCAGGATGCATTTTGTTTAGTTAATGCAGAATAATAATAAAGTAAAAGTGTGACTAACTTCAGGGCAAACTTACACATATGATATCAGTGTGTGTGTGTGTGTGCACACACAATACACCTTAAGACAAGAAGAGGTAGAGTATTTTTAAGAGTTTCATCTAATGTATGTGAGTAATCATACAAGTTTGTGCGTACAATTAAGCAAGAGCATGTGTTATAACATGGTGATTTCACTGGGTGGCAGGGTTAGTCTCTTCTCCCGCACAGACATCATGTTTTCCACCTGCATGGCGATGACTCGACACAACTCCAGGCCCTGTAGACAAACGCAGTGGACGTAAGTACAGAGACTGCAACGTAGCAGCTCCGCTGAAAATGATCATGTGTGGCCTCTGAACAGTGTCCTTGTCTGCGTTTGCGTCATACCTGCTCCAGCTGCAGCTGAATGACCCGCTGTGTGTTCGTGTCCCCCAGGGTGAGGTCTACATATGGGTAACTCGTTCCAGCATTGGGCCTCTGGGTGCGGCTGGACTGTATCTCCACCAGGGGGACCACTGCCATCAGCTCCTGCAACACAGAGACCAAACATTATAACAAACATCTGTCTTCTGGAAAAATATGACTCTACTTCTGGGCTCATGTTTCAGTCACGATGAGATGAGTCATTTCAGTGCTTGACGATCCTGAATGTGCGTGTGCGTGGTTCCTTACATGTGTATTTTTGTGCAGGAAGTGGAGACCATGTTGACTGACAGCGACAATACAGGGGGCGTAGAAGGTGGTGGAGCTGCTGCTCTGGATGTAGAAGAACGAGGAGCCAACATGGGGAATGCACTGACAAGCCCTGCATGCACAAAAAACACAAAATTTAACAAGAGTGAGCACAGACATTTTTGTTCTTTGGGGAGCAACCAAATAATTGGTCTTTGTTCAAGAGGTGCCTCGCATATTTTACACATCCAGTCCAGTTTATTCCTTATGATGAGTCCTACAGTTGTATAATGTCTTCTGTGGCCTGGAGGAGCTTTGTCAAGTCTGAACAAAATCAGACATCAGGCTTATCTCGGCTTGGGATTGGAGACTACACATTTTTAACAGCTGGATTTGACAAAAACAGACTCTCTTAATTTATTCGCATACAATTGATTTTCTTGAAAATGTACCATATCAAAATAGGTCTATACTGCAAAATAACATTATGGATTTTTATTTATCCATTATCCAGTCCAGTTGTTACACATATGTTATGATATGTAAAAAAAAAAAAAAAGGAAAAAAAAAGGAAAATCTGACCAGTTCAGTCCAAATTCAGTTTAACCAGTGGTGCCTCCTCTTAATGTGAATGGAAATCTTACCCAAAAACTGTGCTCTGGCTTGATGTGGGTTCAAGGTCTGCACTTGCTGCATGTGCTGGGTCACCATGGTAACCCACTGCTGGGGTGGCTGCTTTTTGAACAGAGGTGTGGCGATGTACTCCGATAATTCATGTCTGGAGGAGAAAATAAAAGAAACCAAATCTAAGATAACAGAAGTCAGCTTCGCTCAATGATTTCTCAGCATTTCGCAGAATGATTTTACTCGGTGAGCTGTTCTGTTCTGCTGTCGGCTCTGTGGTGGGAAAGAGACCTGATAACAATAGTAAGAGCATGAGAGGACATGAGTTTTTACAGTTGAGAAAAAGAAAGTGTCATGCACAAAAACCATTGACTACAATGCATTCTGGTCCTTCAACAATGAGCTTCTTTCTGTACGGTTGTTGAACATCAGTGGAAAAATATCTATTGCAGCTTCATGATGAAGCAGTTTATTTTTATTGTATCTATATAAAAGCTTACTGTGCTTGTCTGTATTAAGGACACACCTTTTCTTTCTATCTTTTCACTATTATTGTTCATTTTAATAACAAATTTTCTTTTTTATTAATTATTATTAGTTTGCTCTGCTACACCCTCAACAGTAAAATAATGGTGAATTAGGGATCATGAACCCAGCAATTATATTATTAATAAGTAAAATGAAGAAGTATTAAAAATATTGTTAGATTATCTGTAACACTGTTTTATCATTTGATCACTGACTCTAGAAGCTATATTGTTAAACATTCTGCCTTGTGCTGAAGAACCATTCTTTACTCATTGTTTTCTCACATGCTGGGGATGAAGATGATGTCTTTGGCTCTGTGCTGCAGAGCTGCCAGTTGGAGATCTGGTGGAACTGTTGCTCGCTCACTTTTCCATGTGGAAGGACATTAGCAGGCCTTTACGGTAGTCTGGCAGGATCTAAATATAGACACAAAAACAGTTGCATACACATGCACACACATGTAGGTAACATACTGTATGTATGTGAAACAGCACCTGGGGTACCTGGTTATAGTGCATGGCGACACAGAGCTCGTTCTCGAATTTGAGGGGCTGAGTCCAGATGACTCGCCTGAACCAGAAGCTATAGTTGGTGTCAACCAACTCTGCCTCTGTCGCAACATCCAGGATGTACTCGTGCTTGTTCAGAGGACGCACATTTTGACCTGGGCATACCCACACACGTAATGTAACTTTTTACACAGAGATCTACAGTACAAATGTATCTATATATGAACTTAAACTAGTCTCCATTAAAATTCCTATTTGTTATTATGAAGGATTTGATAATCTAATAATCTGACTTTTAGTAGCCAAAAAAACTTAAAATACAATATAAACTACTGACACACATAACGTGACATCATGTTGATATTTGTACAGCACATGTTGTGTCCTGCTGTGCTTTTGAATAGCACACAGGCAAGAGCAGCTGCCAGCATGTGGAAATGCTAAATTAGTTTAAAAAACAGCAACAGAATGCTGCAGAATGAGTCCCATGTGCGTGCTTCAAGTGTTTGGAGCTTTCAGCACTGAAAACCGGATAAATGATCCTTTGTGCAAAGCTTTGTGTTTGATAATTTGCATGTTTTCATGTATATACATATATATATATATATATATATATATAGATATATATATATATATATATATAGATATAGTTGTGTGTGTGTGTGTGTGTTGTATATATGCACATATATACATCATACAGTGGGTACGGAAAGTATTCAGACCCCTTTAAATTTTTCACTCTTGTTTCATTGCAGCCATTTTCCCAAAAATCAAAAAAGTTATCACATGGTCATAGTATTCAGACCTTTGCCGTGCACTCATATTTAACTCAGGTGCTGTTTCTGTTTCTTCTGATCATCCTTGAG